TTTCATATAGAAATACCAAAGAAAACGAGGTTTGGTTATATCGAATCGTAGATTTTCGAGATCATTGAGAAGAATCTTTCTCTGAGTCTGTTGGTTCGATTAATGAAATTTCAAGGATATCTTAGGAATTCGTAAACTAACGTCATGAATTGCATTCTTATCGTATTACTATTCGATTGGATATTTTCAACGATATTTTTGTTAGTAAATTTATCATCGTTCGAATGAACGAACGATAATATTACGAGTTTTCTTTTTTTTTCTTGTTCTTTTTTTTTTTTGTTTGTTAATTATTCTCGTGATCTTTTAATGTTTATACAAGGTTGTACAAATTTAAAAAAATGTATATATATATATATATATATATATATATATATATATATATATATTATATCAAGTATTATACATTTTATGTAATATTGCCAAGATTCTTGCTGACAAATGATACAATGTATTATAACGATTGTCATTTTATAACCTCAAAAGATTTGTTTTATGAGTGTGCGCCATTTCAAATTCGTTTAAATATATTTCACGTTTTTTTTTTTTCAATTCCAAATTTAAAACTTGACAAACGTTATATTTATTTTTTAAACAACATTACTAATAATATAAAAATAACGATAAAAAAAAACCTGTATTTATTATAAAGAAACAAATTATTAGGTGTAGCAATTAATTCGATAAGGAGTTGCTTTGATATTTAAATTAATTTCATCAAAATTGGGAAGACATGTTGTTTTTTTTAGTCAAAAAATTCGAAAGAAAGTATTAGGTGTAGCAATTAATTCGAGAAGGAGTTGCTTTGATATTTAAATTAATTTCATCAAAATTGAGAAGACATCTTGTTTTTTTTTTTAATCAAAAAATTCTACAATTGTTCCCCACAAAAATGAATCAAAGTGATTGAAAATAAAAATCAAAAGAAAACAATTACGTATCAATAGGTAATTTTAAATTTTCAAAATCAATATGTGTTATTTTGAAAATTAACATACGTATGATGAATTTTTTAAATAAATAATAACTTGTGTTCTATTAAAAAAGGCATCAAATTAATTTCTACAAGTAATATAATATTTTACACTTTAAAATGCATCCTCATTTAATTAACAAAATAATTTGACTTTGTTGATGTAATAAATTCGATGATGCAATAATACAAAGTGCATAAGAATGCATGTAAAAAAAAAAAAAAGAAAAAAGTACATACAATGACAAAAGTGACATCCAAAAGATAATCCCAGTAGAATAAAATCAAAATTGACGTATACTTGGTGTTTCAAAAAAAATCAGATTACAAATGAGTAGATATGGTAAAAACATAATTTAGTTCGATAAGTTTTGAATTAAAAAAAAAAAAAAAAAAAAAAAAAACAAAATGGTGGAGATAATATAGAAATAAGTTTTGAAAATGATTTAGCAGCTGTTATCATCTAGTATGGCCACGTGCATCTTCCACGTGGACTCGGAACAGAAGTAGACGTTTGTTGGGTGGTGCAATGGATGGTTCGTATCTCTCTCTCTTTCTCTATCTCTCTCATTCGAAGGGGAGAATTACCACCACCTGACTAAGCAAGCAAACCTCTAACTCTAACCTCACACACTCTATTCTTGATCTTATTCGCGTCCTTCTACACATGCACACCTCGATGTTCATGGACCCACCACTACAACCACAAGCACAACCACAACCACCACCACCACTACCACCATTACCACCACCACCAGCAGTAGCAGGAGCAGTAGCAATAGCAGTAGTAGTTTAGCGCCATGAACATGACGTCCAAAGACGGGAGTTTCAGATCTTATGTTGGTTAGGAAGTCAATCTCATTTAAAATGAGATAAAAGAGGGATGACAGACGTAATGACCAATCAGGGAAAGAGAAGGGGGGTTAGGAGGGGTATAGGGGTGGAAGGAGGAGGGGAGGGTAGGTTAGGATACATGGATGTATGGGATTAATGGATGCATTGGATGAAATGATGAATAAAATATGTCAGAGTGTGTATATGGGTCTGTCAGAATAAGAGTAAAAAAAAGGGATAATTGGAAATGGTTTTCCCTACTCCTCTCTCCCCCTTGTTGAAAATGATTCTCATAGACATTAAATACATAATACTATCTCGGTCTAACACTTTAGTGATGTCTAACGTGCTATCTATTTTCATCTGACTCCGAGAGAAGAGTCGAGCAAAGCCGAACCGAGCACGGACGTTGTTAAGTCCGTGGTCTCTTGTATAGTACCTTTCCGCCACCACCCCCTTTGTCACACTTTCGCTATCATCTCCACCTAAAAAGGTAGATTGGCCCAGTAACTAACGCGCTTTTTCATTGGCCAATATCGTCTACCAATCGGGTGCCTCCTTACAGCTTAGGATCACGTTGCACGCGCTTATATTGGGAGCCCCCGCTCGTTTCCCCGACAGAACGGCATCCTAACGTAAGTGAATAACGTCGATTGTTTGTTCGTTACTACTCTATTGCTCGGGATTAAATACATTTATTTTTTCAAGTTGTGTGGTTATATTATACATATCTTTTTTTTTTTTTTCTACTTTTTCTTCTTTGATTTTTCTTTCATTCTTTTATCTACGATTTTATTCGTCGAACTTTTGTCAAATTTTTCGTTGGATTTTTTTGTTTGTTTTATTCTTTTTCTTTAATTTTTCTTTTTTTTTTTTTTTTTTTTTTTTTTT